CCTGCCAGCGTCTCACGCTGGCGAAAGTGCCCCATTCGCGATGCATTGAGCTATCCCCAGGCGCTTCTTTTGGAGAGCGCTTGCGAGAGTCGCCGCCCTGCACGAAGCCCCCGGGGGAAGATTGGCTCACGTTGCGCTTGTCCATATCGGTCCCTTATTCTTATCAGATATTCAATAAGGGGGAAATTGGAATTCAGTCTGCCCATAGCCAACTCTCGACCGATCAATGATCGTACTATCCAATCGGTCAGTTTGCCCTTCCACCTGTTCATCTGCTCACCCGCCCGCCTGTCCGCCCTGCTCGCTCGCTCGCCCGGCCGGCCGGAATGTGTGAAAGAATATATTTTTTTCATGAAATGTAAAGGCGAACTACGCCGCTTTTCCACGAAGGACCTTCTTGTTCAATAGTTTGTACAAGAAAGAAAAGGTAAATATTTAACGAGTGAAGGGTCGAGATGAGATGCGAGCTTTGAGAAGGGCTTTGGGAAGGGACAGACTTTGTTAGACAACACTCCTCCCGCTTCAATCTTCTTTGGGTCCTTAAGATCATTTGTACTTCATCAAATTGAGTTTGCATTAGAATGACGTCATTTGTTAGAGTTTAAAAATATGAAGAGTGGCTTTACCGTGACCGTTTTGGAGATGGTCGTCTTCTTCAAAAGTATATTTCCTACAAAATTTCTGTTAGTTTATTCGATGAAAAATATTTCTCGCACGTACATGAATGGAATTGCTTTGCGGTTCTAATGTGGTCCTCTACCACGAAAGGACACATGTTTTGTGGTTTTGTATCAGTTGATTGATTAGGATATTGAGTATGGATTTCACACTGTTTAAATGTAATAAAAAGCGATCAACAGTCCCTGTTGTCCAGAACTGATTTTTCCATTCTGTGTCGGTTGTAAGCGGTAGTTCGTGTTCGAACAGACTAGAATGGTACTGTGTTCGCTGCTACGAAGAGTTGAATAGGTAAGTTACAAGATCGTCGTGTATTTAAAAATCTTCTCTACCTAGATATAAGTTATTGCTAAGTAAGGCATTGGCATTTCATGTATAATTTACCTCATTCTAGTTCCTAATAAAATCAAAGATTATCTGGCAACTACTTATGTTTGATGGCGCGGATCGTATTTTGGAATTATCGCAGTAACAGCAGCGCAATATGGCGATGTGCAGAGAAATGGTCTACTACGACGATATGCTGCTTCTAAAATTTTTCTGGCGATCAAAATTCCTAATGAGTAAACCTGTGCAATACTCATAAACTTCTACTAAAACGGTTGTGAGTTTGTCTCGCGCGAGTTGCCGCTACAGCTCCTGAAGTCATGAACAGCGTGGACAGCTTTACCCGCGGACGACTATTAATGAACTTAATTTAATGTGGGAATGCTGATTGTGTGTTTCATCTATATTTTACAATCTTGTCGGGAACTTTGAGGTAACGTGCAGTGTATATTGATTTTCTTGCAGCGACTGCTCTGACTGGTAATTTTCCGTGGTTCTTCGATCATTATTCTAGGTGATTCCCAGAGCAGTAACCTAACAAAAGGGCGACGGACGCGCGCGAACACACGCGCTCACGCTACACACCCGCACACACCTGGGCTTTTCCCGGCTGAGGCAGTGATCCACTGGGACAGATACCAGAAGAGGGAACTCTGCAAGGCGGCGAGTTGTTCGGCATCGGATCTTACATTCCGGCGGGGACGAAACTCTGCTACCTCCAATGGTAATAATGTGCTCTACTCCCTCGAGCATAACAGCCATAGTAGCTCGCAAAGAAATTTTAAATACTAGAGATTTGCACAGCACAACGAAAAACGTTGCGGGTGAACGTTTCGTTCGAAATAGAAATAATTTTGAACTGCGGTGATGCGCTAAATTCCAGTAATCCCACATCCTCTTGATTGGCACTTGTTGGACAGAGGAGCCCACCAACCACTTATTCACTCAAGCCTCGGTGCTTGGAAATGAATGGAATTTGCCCCACAGAGGCGTAGCGGCGCGGCGGTGGGCGCCGCCGTCGCGGGCCGCTAGAGGCCGCTCGGGGCCGCTGAGGCGCGTGGCGAAGCGGAAGGCGCGAGGCGCGGCCTACAAACGCACGCCAGGCGGCGGCAGGTGGGCGTGCCTACGTGCGCGCGCCCACGGACGCCCCGCGCGCAAGCGCGCTCGCACGCACACACGCATACGCGCGTCTCCTCCCACGCACCTCGCCGGGGCCACGTGCACACTCGGGGGCCTGCAGTGACTGAGGACCTGCTTCCAGGAAGGGAGGGAAGACCCCCGTCCGCTACGTGTCCATATTCCCCCAGGAAGAAATGTAACTGGAGTCTCCACGTGGAGAGGCAGGAATTGCTCCAAAGTTCCAACCCTGTGTAAACTGTTAATGAAGTGCTGCGAGAAATTAAGATCAGTAGAAATCCACATACAATTTTTATAAACTTAAATTACGAAGACAATTCTTTACCTAATAAGACCAAGTAGCACTTTCAAGACTAAATGACTTTTCAAAATGAGTCGTCTTTACATAATACAAAAATCACCACTCTCATTTCTGGACTGTTGTTATTTTTCACTAAACGTTGTTCAGTGTAATGAAGTATATGTCCCACATACAAAAATCAAAGACTGTTACCTTTCATAGATGTGACTTTGAAACAATACTTATTTTTATAACCGATAGAATTAGTATCTCTCGTATAACAACTAACTTTCAAAAATAATTTCATTCGCTGCATGTTATTTCGGTCGACCCCCTTTTGCATATTATATGCTAAAGAACGTTTACGGTTTTGAACGATTTATAAGACAAAAAAGTGAATTTGCAACTATTTAGAAGGGAATTACCCCCGATCCCGGTACATAGCTGGGAAAAAACTAATTTTTGTAGGTTAGGATATGAATAATTCACCATTCTCACCTACAACCCGCTACACGCGCTTCGCTGCCACACATGTTAGCATCGTGCGTGACTCAAAAACAGTCTCTTGAAGATCTTTAACCCAGGTGGTCAGAAATTGCAGACTCTCGAAATCTACGTAGAATTAAATTGATTGTTTCAAGGTTGTACAATGTAATCGCTCGGGTGTAACAAACATGTCTGTTAATAAACGCTTAATAATATCGCGATGTTTACCCACGCGTGGGCGGTATATGGCGGTTCCACGCCAGGACGATGTAACATAGCGTGGACTGATTCCATTTTAATTACAAAAAATGGTTTCGGGATGTCCTGTGAACTTTTGGAGATGTTTAAAAATATACCCAGTCAACAAAATAAAACAATACAAATCTTGATACAAATTCAAAGCGAACAATGTAATGCCCAACATCCCATCAAAAAGAAGTAATGAATAAATCAACAGCCAATTGCAGAAATGGTTCGAAAGTACACACAATAAGAAAAATATCTACGTGCCCTGACTGTCATACCACTTTAAGCCCCATGCTGACACTGTAGTAGAATAAAATTAAAAATACATAGTACTATATTTTACTCGATATTTAAGGTGGCCGTTTTCGCCATGAGCATGTGTATAAATAACTTTGCCGAAACAATATTGGATCGCTAATAAAATGGACATGTATATTAGTGAACATATCTGTAGAGGATATTTCGCTGAGGAACAATTGACTTAAAATCAAAATGAAATATTTATATACGAATTTGAGCTCGAACGATAATGCATTTCAATGCAATTTTTATATCTTTGCTTCGAAGTTATTTTATATTTTAGTAATAATTTATGTATATTGTTTTATGAATCAACTTGAGAAATAGTTATTACCAAAGACGGTCACTAGTACCACAAGGTTTACGGAGTTATGACCGAGAGTACAGTTTTCGGGACATTTTCATTTTGAACTTCTTGAATTACACCCAAGAAAAAGTTCATGCAAAGCGTCTTTATAGCGGTTATCAGGTTGGCTTGGTGCCTTCTGCCATCTAGCGGTATTAAAGCGAACTGTTTGAGGCAGCAACTCTTAGAGGTCACGCCATAAACACAACAAAAAAAATTATCAGTAGTGATGTATTCATTAAAGCGATTTCTACCTGATATGGAACATGCTAATGAACGATCATGGAGATAGTAAAAATTAGATAAATATGGGGAATAAATTCACAATTGTAATA